TGATTGGAGATTTGAAAGCCTTACTTAGAGAAATGAAGATACTTCCAAAGTAATGCTTCAAATTACAAAGGTACTGTTAGACCCGCTGTCTAGTTTTTTTTAGTTTTACACTTAAAATGTTCAACAGTTGAGTTATAAAACATAAAAAGAGCTTTATTACCAGAGAGGCCCTTGAAGTGAGGTTCAAACTCTCCTCACTTCTTCACTTCTTCTTCTTCACTCAGAGTCAGAGAAGGAGAAGTAATATCTGAAAGTTTTTCCCCTCTGCTCAGTCTTTTCATATGATCACAGACGTGAAGTGGGTTTTGAGTTATGATTTTGGAGAGAATTTGGCTGTTTTCTCTGACATTCATTTATGTAAGCCTATCAGCTCAGCACGAAGCTCAGTGAACTAAGTCTCTTACTCTTTTAAGTATATATGCTGAAGAAACTATGAGCTGACTACTGCAGCATTAGCCAGCCTTTTTACGACTTATGATTTACTGGAGTTCTGTTACTCCAGTATCTCTGATTTTTATTTCATTGGACTTATTCAACACGTTCAAATACCAGTGCACTGAGTTTGACAACTCTGAAGGATACAAGAGAACAGTGTGGCTACATACATGACATTTATATCTTTATTACTTCTGTATAAATATTTTTATCCAATACTTTTGTGTTCCTTTAGTGTTTTCTTAGCTTCTATTTTGCTTACTTTTTGTTGTACATGTTATTTTCAAATGTTTCTAAATGATTTCTTTGACCTTTTGCATTTGTAGTAATGTACTGCATGCAGTAAAAACTGGGCCACTGTTCAAGGTGCATCACCAATATAAATCAATGCTGCCCTCATGTGGTGTCTTTGAGTACTGCAAATAAAACCAGACCATGCCTCGAATTTGTTTGTGCTTCCTGGTATTTCTGATATTATTATTATTATCATTATTATAATTATTATTATTATTATTATTATTATTATTATTATCATTATTATTATTATCATTATTAGAAAGTTTTTCATGCTATGATATTTTAACCTACAATATAACATTTTTCCACACTTAAATTTGACATTTCTATCATAATATACTATGATAATTTTTCACATACTATACTATGACATTTTTATCATAATATATTGACATTTTTTAGAATACTTAAATTCCAAATTATTATCACACTAAACTATGACAGTTTGTAACATACTATACCATGAACTTTTTAACATACTAAAACGTGAAAATTGTATTATACTATAATTTGACTTTTTTAACATACTATTCTATATTTTTTGTAATATACTAAAATATGAAAATTTAATTCACTATACTGTGATATTTTTTGGCATTCTATACTGTGAAATTCTTATCATACTATACTATGACACTTTTAACTTTCTATGCTGAAATATTTTTAACGTACTAAAATGTGAAAATTATATATATTACTATACTATGACATTTTTATTATTGTATACCATGAATTTTTTCCATACTTAGATTTTTATCATCCTATTCTATGATATTTTTTAACATTCTATACTATCACATTTTTTATATACTTAAATGTTTAAATGTTATTATTCTATACTATGACTTTTTTATACCTACTGTACTATGACATTTTTTATCATACTATACCATGACATTTTTTCATACTAAATGGTGAAATTTTTATCATACTATATGATGACATTTTTAACATACTATACTATGATTTTTTTTAACATACTAAAATGTGAATATTTTAACCACACTATACTTTGACATTGTTAACATACTCCACTTTGACATTTTTATCATACTATACTGTCATTTTTTTATATTATAATGTGATATCTTTAACATACTATACTATGACATTTTTATCATACGATACATTGACATTTTTCACACTAAACTATGACTTTTTTATACTAAAATGTTAAATTCCTATTATGGCAAACTATGACATTTTTATCATACTATACAATGACATTTTATCATGCTTAAATTGGAATTCTTTATCATACTATACTATGACATTTTATCATACTAGACAATGATATTTTTTATTATACTTAACTCTAATTTTTTAATGTACAATTCTATGACTTTCATTATATAAATAATTTGATATTTTGATCATACTATACTATGACATTTTGATCATACTATACTGATCGTTTTACATACTATAATAATATACATACAATATACAAACATACACTGATAATAATAGCAATATTTATTGACCATCACTGCTGTGTCTTATAATAATAAACACAATAAGGAGAACTAAAACAATGCACTCAAAAACTATAATTTCTATAAAAAAGTTCATTCTTCCCTATAGTCTAATTTAAAAATTGAAATTTTCATATATTCTAGATTCCTTACACAGAAAGTAAAATATATTACAAGGCTTTATTTGCTTGAGTCTTGATGATTACAGCATTACGGCTCACAAAAATCCACTATCTGACAACTTTAAGTATGACAAAAGACCAACACAGATGAAGGATTTATAACACAGAAATGTGTATCTTCTTTTTGGGACAAGCTATAAGAACATGTTTGATGTGGCTACAATAATTAAATATAAGTGTGACAGTTCTGTCTTTTAATCGATCTGTCTTGTTCTTATAAAGGATATTTTCCCCCTCTCTGTTGGCTTTATCCTTCTCCCTCATCCTGTTTCATCCTTGCTCACTCACTGTACCACATCCTAACCTCCCCTCCTACTCACTTCCACTTTCTCCCCTCCAGACTCCTTCCTCTCACTTTCTTGATCATAATGAAACCTTTCCCAACCTCTCTTCCTCACAGCCATTCATCCCTGGTCTTTGTCAGACAAGCTCTAGTTTCAGAGTTTGACACCCTCCGAGGATGCAATTAACCCTTTAACCCTTGACCTAATCCATGACAACCCCCTCTTTCATCCTGCGATTCTGATTTAACATCCCCAGGTGCCAAAAATCTCATTTCATGTATTTTGTCTGCTGCCTGCGGTTGGCACCTTCTCAAACCCACACTTTTGTATCACTTTGTTGCAGAAAATTAAAAAAAAAAACATCTGTGCTGTCTTCTTACATTGCTGCAGCTCTTTCATTCGTCATGGTCCTCGTCTTCAGTTACCTCAGATACAACCAGATGTTCATTGTTGACCCGACAGTCTTTTTTCTTTTTTTTTCATTTCATTTTTTTTATTGCAGCCACAGAGACAAAGGTGATGAATAAACATGATCAACTTAATCCTAGTTGCCAATACAATTTTCAGTTCAAATAAGATAAAAGTGAGAAAGATGAAAAACAAAAACAGAAAGAGAGGGGGAAAAAGGTAAATAAAAAAGATATACATTAAATAAATTAACTTAGTGGGAGGAGAAAGAGAAGAAAAAAAAGTGATGATGTACAGAGAATTCTATGTTCTCAATAGTTCAGTGGGAGGGGGGAAAGCAATTTGTAAAGGACAAGGCATGAACAGTCTGTTTGGACTTAACCCCAACTCAAGGCTTTAGTGTTTGTCAGGATTCTCTGGAAAGAGGGTAACCTTCCTATCATGTTAATTATTTTCATTCCATGACAGCTGTTCCTCATTACACATTTCCAGGAGATTTGAGGCGGCTCCTTCCATAGAAACTGTCTCTAGAAAGGTTTAAAGCCATTTTCCTATTTCCAGGTTGACCTGACAATTTGAGAGGACAACAAGAATAACATTTGAGAGAGCACAAGTGTAAACAAATCTCAGTTCAAGACCAATTAATCTCTGATTTTTCAAGTTTTTTACTACCTTTAAACCACCAGATTTGTATTTTAAGAAAAGGGCAAATAAATGGTAAGTAAGCACAGTCATGCCACAACCAGCAGACTTATTACATCTTCACTGAATACAACTGAAATATTTGCCTGGCAAATATCCCAGTGACATAAATTTGTGACATTCCAAACATTATTTGGCATACGGTGCATCAATTTACCCTTCTTTATTCATGCTGTTGCTTGACCTGCACTTGTTCAAATATCAAAATGTTATTCATATCATAGATTACTGTGAATTTTTTATCATACTTTACTATGACATTTTTAACAGACTATTCTATGACATTTTTTAACATACTGATATGTGAAGATTTCATCATATACTATGACTTTGTTAACATAGTATAATATGACATTTTTTCACACTAAAAGTTAAATTTTTTATCATACTATACTTTGACATTTTTAACATTTTTTTTTACAATAAAATTTGACTATACTATTTACCAAATCACTTGTTCAAATATCAAAATGTTATTAAGACCTCTAAACATAATAGTAATTGGCTAATCTGAAATATTAGTTTGCTGATAAGGGAAAATTAGTACCATGATTAACTTACCATGCCACAGCATTGCCAGTGTTAGCTTAGCATATTCATTAATACCCTCCTTTAAGTCTTTCACTTGTAGCCCCCTTTTTTTTTTTAAATTAGTAGACATTTCAGAATGCTTAGAAACTTATGGGCTAAAGAGTATCTGCCAAGTTGTGTACGGTATATTGTCTGTTCTGTAGTTAACACCCAACTTGCTCAATACTAGTCTTAATCCTCTTGTAAAGGAGATTTTTAACCTCAACGAGATTTTTCTCATGGCTCAGTAAAAAAGAATATATCAAATAATGTCAGGACAGAATTTCACATACAAATAATTTATAGGAGCCATAGTCTGCAGAATTAGTCAACTATGTTTCATCTTTACTTAGTCACTGCCAAACTGGTGGCCGTTGTAGTGGGGAGAAAAAAATGGGCCAGACCAACCAGGTTTTCCTTATATTTTTCTTCTTTGGGTGAGAACTTGTGTAACAATTTGTCATGTTTTGGCATGAAGACTATAGTACACTTTTTTTATAATTCTGAGAATATTTGTTTTTGCCTTTATTTTTCATGACAGCTCAACAGAGACAGGAAATGAAAGGAGATGTTGTGCACCAAATTATGTCAGGACCAGGAATCAATACTCCAAGTGAAGTTTCTGTAACAAATGAAACAAATAGCCATCTCTTTCAAAGTGCTACAGAGCGCAAAAATAACTTTATTTTGTTTTGATTTCACCTTTAAGTCTTATGTCAAAAATTTACAGGAGGAATTCTTATACATTGAGGGGGAGGGGACATTTATTTTGTTCTTGCAAACAAAAGAGGACCATGTAAAATCTTTAACTTAAGTCTACAAAATCACTAAATGATAAACACTTGGGTTGACAAAGTGATGAATTAAAAATCATATCAGTAAATTTAATTGACAGGGGGTTATTCTGTGTATAGCTAGCTCATGTCTCACTATTTGAAGTTTCATCTGCAGAAGCCATTACAAATGGTAAGAATGTGAATCCACATCATCTCTGGTGAATCATAAATGCATTTCTTCAAAGCTAATCAGGAAAAGTTGTTACTCCACACACACACACACACACACACATTGTAAGCCTACAGCTCATAAATACAATCAATCTGATATACAAATATTTGGATAGATTTGTGTGACACTTCAAATGCAGTTTATTCCCGATTCCTGCTGTTTGTTAAGACCTTTATCACACCATCACTGCACGTTTCTCTGCAGAGATAAAGAAGCTTTAATCAGAGTAAAGACCCGAACGCATCTTTGAAGTCAAGAGTAGATGATGGGCAGGGAGGGCATTGAAATGAAAATCTGAAACAAGCTTCCTGATGCTGCAGACCTTCCCAAAGTGTCGAGGCTGTGACGCCAGTACGAGTCTCTTTCCTGTGCCCTCCACTAAACCGGCCTTTACTGGAGGGCGACTGAGGAGAAGCTTAAAAAAAACCAGCAGACAATGCACATCGACATGATTCATTCTCACACAGAAAGCTTTCTCCAGTTAACGAAAGAACACAGAGGAGCTGCAGATGCAACAACAAATAAAATTTAAAGGCGCCCGTTCCACTATCCATCACACATACAATCAGTCAATCAAACAAACACGGACATTTGGACTTTGAGACACAGAGAGGAAACTAAAGCAGGATCTGCTTGATGATCATTCTGATAGTTTTACTTCTGAGGGGAAGCTAGACAGACTACAGTAGCAACATATTCATCGTTTCCTAAGCTGCTGTCATATATGCACAGTTTGTGTATAAATGCATCTGTGATAAACCTTTAAATAGTCATTAAAATTCATATTTTTTTCTGTTTGGATTCAGGAGAAAAGCCCTTCAAGAAAAATCTGTGCCTGTTAAATTTTAAAAAAATCACCACTGATGATTTTCTTTTTGACCGAAGAAAAAGATGAAAGAGTGGTTAAGCTCTTGGACAAATCAACATGATGGAAAGTGTGATTGAGTTCTTCTTAGGTGCAGGCAGAAAAGAAAAGGTCCTTTAGACAGAGAGCATCATGTCCATGTGCTTCATTTACTTCCAGGTAGGATATCACTCATTTCAACAAGTCTGTTTCCACAATCTCTCTGCAATAAGGTCTCTACTTCAACACTGGGTACTGGCGCTGGCCGCCCAATCGACCGGCGCGGTGTCCACCTCCTGATGGTGCACTTGTCTGGAGGAAAAAGAAAATCAAACAGTAAGCTTAATGAAGGGGAAAAGGAGCACAAATGGAAGGACAAAATGTGTTCTTCACCTGTGCAAACTGTGCAGGGTTATAAAAAGTGACTCCTCCAGCAGGTGCTGCTGCCTGGACAGGATGATTCTGCAAAAGACAAACAGATTTACGACAGTCTGCACAGCACTATTACTCCAGTTCCTCTATGGAAACAAATGGGGATGAATGTCAGTAATATAAACAATAAATCAAAGCAAAGTAGAAAAATGATTGCAGAGAGGATCTTGGATCCACTTATCGGCAGCATTACAAACCACTGTTTCACATCTTTTTAGTAAACATACAAGCTACATGGCGTGTTAATAAAGCTGCGTGTTTGCGTGACAAGGAACAAGGGGGTGGTCCTGCAGCGGTCTCCAGCACACACAGTTGCTCTGATCTATGGTTCAAAAATGACCAGGAACAAAGGTAAGTTCTCCTCTTTCTGAAGTCATGCTAGCAGCTCAGTGGTACCTTGGGGTTTGTATAATAGTCGACTAAACAACTGAACGTTGTCAGCCAAGCCAAAGAGATATGAGGCGTGAGATGCTGGTCATATGTTGTGTCTTAGCTATAGCACAGCCAACCATCAGTGTAGGAGGTTTTTTTTTGTTTTGTTTAGCCTTTTAATGAGGTCCAAAGCTACATTGTCTTAACACTGAATTGATCAAAATACTCTCTAGCGTGTTAGAAAAAATCCCTTAAACTCCTGTAAGGTTTTTTTTTTATTATTTATTTATAGAATAGACTGAAATTCATATTAATGCTTTCTTATAATATTCAAAAGCAAACAAGACCATCAGTGACAGAACTACTGTAAGCTTGTATTATGTCATTCTCTATGCCTCAAACCAGTGCAAGGGGGGAGGAGTCAGGCAAGCAGCTGAATGAGTGATATGTTTGATTGTCAAAAATCATCAGGGTGAGATTTTTTATCAAAACACACTCTTTAAGAATAGATTGAACAAGGTGAGTAAAGAGTGATTTGTCCACAAGGGGGCACCAAAATCAATGTAAATCAAAAGTACTTTAAACAACATTATTCGCAATAGAATATTTGGTATTTATAATTACTGTATTTTTCACACTATAAGGCGCACCTAAAATCCTTTCGGCTTGTCGGAGCACTGCAGCTACTGTGGCCTTGCGGAGTTATTGAATGAGTTTAATAAAGTTTGACTTATCTGACTGTTTTGTTTGGCTAAATGCGCTTTATAATCCGGTGCACCTTATGTATGAAAATAGACGCGAATAGACGCGTTCATTGATGGTGCGCCTTATAATCAGGCGCCTCCAAATGTTGTACAATGATTCAACGGCACTTTGTAAAGCTGAAATGTATCTTTCAGTTTATTACAGATTCAACTGTGAACTTGTGTGCTGTCTATTTTGTTTTTGAAATTGGTGTCAGCTGTTATACTGATTCTCTTTTCACTTTGGATGTGCTATGTGGTTCAATGGTAGTGTTTTCTGTTGTCAAACTTGATCTGCAGACCTTAAGAACAAAAGCCTCTGCTACACTGAAGGTAATGGGATATTGTTTTGGCTGTGTTTTCTTGCCTTTTGACTAGATTATCAGCTGGTAATTAAATTTCTGTTTAAATAACGAGGAAACCAGTTAATCCTGGACATCCCTAGTGTTATCCATGATTACAAATATTGTATTACATGTACATGACATCAGAAAACAAGTCAACTCAAAAAATTAGAAAATAAAAGAGCTAAAAGGACATTTCTAGATGTAGATTAAAGACTAAACTTTCCACACTAAAAAAGTCAAGGACCACCATGGACATTTCATCTGCTAGCATGCTAACACATAGCCAATTCACTGACATCTTTGAGCAGATTCAATAATGTTCTAGATTCAGTTTTTCTCAACAGACGCAGATTCATGTAAGTATACTGGAGACAGCAGGCAGGAGGGTGAGCAGGCAGACATCCTGGGCAGGAATGATGGTGAAGCGTCAGGTGCAAAACTGTGAAGCAGGTTACCGATGCCGTATTGATCTAGGTGAGTGACATGCAGGGGGGGTGAAAGTGGACCATTGGAGGCCCTGCTAGAGGTACCTGGTTTAAATGCTGACTCACTTCGCGTGATAAAGAACTCATTGAGCTAGAACGTGAGAGCTAAAGAGAGCAGGAAGGAAATAAACAGAAGACAACAAAAACACAAACCACAAACCCAGATTAATAAACTCCCATGCAGCTGATTAGATCTCCTTTCACTTTACACCAGGTCCAATTGTAAAAAAGAAATGAACCAGAATTAAAAAAGTATATTATGAAAAAAAGACATGGGTAGTATTAGATTTTGGAACAGAGGTTTAACATTTCATTTAGCATGATAATGGACAGATTTTTAATACACATGCATGCATTCCTCCGGTCCTTCAAAACCCCTATCCCATAAAAACCTTCACTGCAAAGAGGAGCAACCTGCACGCACTGGCTGTTAGGATGTTGAGCTTCATGATTTAGCAATAGCATGATGGTACTACAGTGGCATTAGCATCAGCTAGTGATGTTTCGTCTTACCTCTCCAGACTGTGAGCCATCAGGCACAGGAGGACCTTCTGGAGCCGGCGGTAACAACGTAGGGTTAAACATCTGTAGGATCGAGAAAAGTGAAACAGAGGAGACTTTGGGTGAGAACGGAGGCCTCTTATATTCATGGAACACTGTAGAGGTAGTGGACACTTTTAAATATTTAGGTACCTTTACTGACAGCAACCTTAATTTCAGTCATAACACTGACCACATTTTAAAATCTTGTAATCAACGCTTCCATCTATTACGCATGCTCAGCTCCTTTGGAGTGAGTAAGAACATCATGGAGACAGTCTATAAGAACCTCATAGAGGGAATCTTAACCTTTAACATGGCAATGTGGTATGGTAACCCAAACACAAAAGGCAGATGTACGCTGCAGAAAATAGTGAATCTAGCTTCAAAAATCATAGGGAAGCCACAGAAACACTTAAGCTGTATCTACAAGGAAGTGATTGGGAAAAAAGCTGTTAAGATAGTAAATGATCCTTCTCACTAGCTGTACAGTGAGTTTTTCATACTTCGTTCAGGCAGAAGTTATCAAGTATTTAAGGCAAATCGTAACCTCTTCAAAAACTCATTCATTCCTAATGCCACCAGGGTACTGAATGATAGTAGGCCTATGTCTCCTTAGATCTGCCTGTTACGTACTGTACATGCCACTGTTGTCCTCCCTCTTTTGCTGCCAAGATGTTTAGTGTGTATTTGTTATGTGTCTGTTGCTGCTGTCCTTGTTGCTGTTGAACCGTTTTTTGTTTTTTTTTTGTACACAATGGGACTAAAGACAAATTTCCACTTGTGGACAACCAACCAACCAACCAACCAGACAAATTTCCTCTTGTGACCAACCAACCAACCAACCAACCAATTCAATAAATTGCTCAACTCCAGTATGCCTGATGAAAATATTTTTCTATAATACTGTTGCAAAATGTTGCCAAGTGCTGGTATGCAGGATAAATGCTGAATATTTCAAAATACATATATATATATAAGTCATGAATACTTGTGGAGCAGCACTGTTGTTTGGTGAATTCTGCTCCTGGTTTCCTCCTTCACTGCCCTCCAAAGGCTGCTGATCGTCAGGAGCTAAAACAGAAAAACAAAGAAGGTGAAAATCTTTCCTTGATTAACTCTTTAAATGTTCTGTGGCTCCTTCTTTCTTCATAACGACAGGAGCAAAAATCTGCCATTATCCTCATAAACACGATCTACGATCACCTTTAAACTGAACTGGTTATGAGACATGAGACTCACCTGAACTAGGCACAAATAGGTTAGCAGGCATTGGCATGGGAGCCAAAGGAGCGAAGATGTCTGCAGGAGCAGGGGCCAATCCGCCCGGGTTTGTGGTTTTACTGGGGTTCAGAACGTCCACATATCTGTTCCTTGTGCCTAAATAAAAAAAAAAAAAAGGAAAAAATCTGTAAGTCTCCTTTAAATAAAAAATAACACGGTTGAGTTATGAGAGGTCAAGCTTTTGTCATCCAGAGGCTGAGGTGTTAAATCCACATCTCACCTGCCTTCCTGGAGAACATGTTAACAGGGGGACCACCGCTCGGGGGTCCTCCAACAGGCCCTCCGGGAGGCCCTCCAGGGGGGGCGCCAGGCATCTGAGGCCTCATGGGGAAGCCAGATGGAGGTGGTGGAGGAGGTTTACTCTATAAAAGATGAGATTAGATTCACTTTAAAATCAGAAAGGGCTGATTTGTGATGCTCTATTGCTCAGAAATAAAATTAGTTACAGACCTCCTCTTCGGGCTCGTTCAAGTCCACCCATCTCTGCTTCTGTTCGTCCCAAACAATCTGACGAGAAGAACATGAGCCTTTTATTAGTGCCGGTCATGAGCAGAAAACAACAGAAACAATTGAAAAATCATGCAAAGACTTACAGATTTGTTCTTGTCATCAGGTAAGTGAGCCTCATTCTTCCCCTTCCCGTAAATCCACCGAATCAACCCACCAAGACCGCTCTGTTGAGGAGAAAATACACTGATCACTATTGAACACTGGGGGAGGGGTTGTCCTGATTAAAGACCTGAATGCTGAGGTGTGAACAGGAACCTTTTTAGGGGAGTCTTTCCTGACTTGTTTGACTTCCTCTCTGCGGGGCTGTTCAGGGATCGAAGGTGGAGGTGGAGAGACCTGCTTGAATGAGTTGCTCCGCTCTCTTCCTCCAGAGTGAGTGGAAGATACAGAGTTGTTGCGAGAGCGCCGTCCAGAGCCCTGTAGACCACAAGAAATAACAACAACATCAATCTAATGTAGTTCTGCTGGTCATCACGCCTTTGTACCGTCACATGGATCCAACAACATAATCAAAGAATTGATTTCCTGTTATTTAAAGGCACATACACACTGAGACATGCACCACTCTGCCAGCTCACAGTTCTCCTGTCTCACCCCTGTAATGTCTCTCTTACTATCTCAAAGCCTTCGATGGCGGCGGGACAACTTTGTCCCACATCACACCTCTGTGACATTCATATTAAAGGTGAGATGTTCCAGGAGTGTAAATATCACACCTTCACCTTGCAATATGTAAAGAGCTGAAGTTATAGTCACTCTGCTGGTACAGCTACAGTTATTAACATTCCCATATATTTTCATGACAGTAAGCCAACTGCAAGATATAGCTCTCTAGAAAGGTCAGTATGAATATCTAGAGCTGTGAAATTATAGGGCTGTCATCTCTAACCTCCTTATATCAGCAGCCATATCTCACGAGGTGTTGTGTAAATAAAATAAGCTTATTGTGAAGGAAGGAGAGTTATGGAATATGAACTGAACTTGAGTGATCATGCTCTGTGAGTGTAAATATCCGCTCTTAGCTCTTTGCTGACATCGTCCTGTGTGTGTGTGTGTGCGTGTGTGTGCATGAGTGAAGTATTGTCGCAAAGAAATCATCGGCCATGTTAACTCCTCTTGACCATTTACTCACTGCCAAGCCTAGCCAGGGTAAATATACACTCCCTCACCGCAACATTAGGCACACTAAGGTCGCTTTCACACCAGAGCTGTTTGGTCCGCTTTAAACGGACCAGAGTTCGTTTCCTCGGATAGTCCGCTTCGTTCCGGCAGGTGTGAAAGCTCATCCGAACTCTGGTGTGGACCAAACAAGCGAACTCTGGTCCGCCTGAAAACATGGGTCTCGGTTCACTTGCAAGTGAACCCTGGTTCGGTTCGTATGCAGTGTGAAAGCCGTAGACTGTATATACTATGGACAACTTGGTTCCGCCTACCGCCTGTATACGGATTTGAAGCCAAAAAGCTCTCGGTATTTCTGGGATTTTTCCTGAAACCAGCGCTGCGCAGTTGCGATGCGCGCATTGGGCCGCGCAGTTGCCGAGAGTCACTGTGATGAAGCTCGGCTCAAACAGCGTATCCCCCCGGGTGAGCTACGCAATCCCTGAACGCCCATAGGCTGTATCCGGTGTCAATCATAGAAAACATGAACCCTAATAACTTTTAAAAACGGAGCTTCACAGAAAAAAATCTATGCAAGACAACAAAATGATTTTCTCTTTTTTTCATTTCACCTCGACAATCCCACTCAAATTAAAAATGTCTATTTTAAGGGAGACATAGAAAGACACAAATACACAAATCTGCAGACGCATAAACACGTGGGACCACTGTACAGTTCACAATCATATAAAAAGAGAGACTATATCAGAGTCAGTTCTGCAACCAGGTAACCTGAAAAGAGTCTTCTTCAAATTTAAAACCATCTACAGACACCAGCTCCTTGACTTTCAGGTCATTCTAATGAATTCCAGGCAGAGGATGGAGAATATCCAAAAGCCCCTTCATCAATTTCTGTGAAAGTTTTTGAGACAGAAAGGTAAAAAAAAAAGATGGCAATAAACACTGTCCAGCACTTTCCTGTTTGATAGATAGTGATAGTCATGAGTAAGAGTAAGAACTCATGAAGATATTGAGCAGGGGTGTGCACCGACAAAAGGTCACCATCGTCCAGTAGGAGTAAAAAAAGAGATACTTTCCGCATTAATAGAAAAACAATTTGTTTGGAAAATGGACACTCAGTTTTCACCTCATTACTTTTTTCAACCAGGTAGAGCTAACATTGTTTAAAAATTAGCCAATGTATCTCAGTCCAGTGCACTATCACTTACTACATCTTCAATAAAACATATAAAGTGCAATAATTCCCTGTCTAATCATGTAAAGAAAAACTGAAAATTTAGAAGCTTCCCAAAGTAGATTTTAATGGGACAGCTGTTGTCCTGGGCTGCTCTAGATTAGGGACAGATGGAAGTATATTAAAAAGGACCGTCTGGTTTTCACTAGACAGCACAGAAGTGTCAGCACTAACTGGGAGTATTTTATGACTGGTTAAATTTCAGTATTGTCTATTTTAAGCAGCAATAATATACATATTGTATATGTACCATATGCATTGAAGATTGTGAAGTAGTCCTTGATCTCCTTCCTGGACCCTGCAGCTCCAAAAAAAAAGATTGGTTCAGAATTTTTTTTCAAACATTCATAAATAAGTTGAATCTACTGACATGTTATTTCTAAATTTCTCAAAGTAAATATCAAAATAGTGTTTCTGACCATGTGAGCCATTTGGTCGTAGAAGTCTTCCTGAGGTGTGAGCGAGCTTCTGGGAGGAGAGGCTGATATCTGTTGGTTCATGTGCATCTCTGTCGGAGAATGAGGCAGCTGCTCTACATGTGGCATGTGCCCAGGAGAAGGGGGCATGTGCGGAGGCATCTGGAGTGTCGGGGGGTTCATCCGTACGGGTGAATGCGGCACTTGAGGGGGCATGTGCGGTGACATTTGGCCCATTTGAGGAGGCGGGGGACCAGGCTGCTGGTGGGCTCCTGGATACATCTCTGGATGCTCAGGTTGAGGCTGGAAGGGAGGAGGTGCAAAACCGGGGTCCTGCGGGGGGTAGCCTGGGACAGGCATGTGGCCTGGTGGTCCGGTGGGGGGAACTGGGTAGAACTGGGGGACTTCATTGGTAGGTGCAGGCTGGGGAGGGGCCATCCCATCTTGAAGGATAGAGGTGGGAGCTGAGAGGAAATACAGACAAAGAGGTTGGATGCATTTTGAGCCAGAACTATGATAAGAGAGGTTAAAAAAAAAAAACACAAAGAGCGCTTTAATCCACACACCTGGAGGCATCAGCTGCACTCCCTGTGGTGTAGTTCCAGGCAGTAATGAGCTCATCAGTGGGTTGTCTGGGGTGTGGCCGTCAAACTCTGAAGGCATGTTGTAAGGCTCAGATGGACTGGGCTGGTCCAGGTCTGAGCTGGGGCTGCTGCATTCAAACTGAGTGGGGGTCGTTCTGTCTTGGCTGTACATGATCACCCCGGTCTACCACAACAAAAGAGAAGCACCAAACTTGGTTACAAGAGGATACACAATGGTTACTATTTAACAGATTTTGAATCTAAATCTTCTAGATCTTCTCATTAAGCCAGAATAATTGTTTTTTTTTTCTCAAACTATACTCACCATTTCATCCATAGAGTATTTATATGCTTAAAATGTTTAAATGATACAACTAAGACAGCATAATTTAAAGTAAGTGAACTTTGCTGAAGAAAGCAATCTTTTTTCTAACACTGATTATTTATATTCAGTATGTGATCATTATTAAATGTTATTCATCAAATGCTTCAAATTCCATCTTTTCGCATTTTCCAAACAGTTTTGAAGTCCATATTAGCATGTAAAACATCTTTGACCAGTGCCTTGATTTAAGAATCAAATGAATGTAATTTAAACTCTACAATCGTAACGTTAACCAATGAAAAATTAACTTACAAGCAATGACAGCCCAATTATTACTGTCTATGGTGGCATTAAAAGTGTTAATATCAAATTTTAAAAAGTCAACATTATTTAGATTTTTTAGAAACTATCTGTTTAAAAACACTCCTCCTCCTCCTCCTCCTCCTCCTCCTCACCTTGATCTGTCCATCAAGCCTCCTAAGGTGGATCAACCACTCAGGCTCATTGAACAGCTCTTGCTCCGGTTTCTCTTTCAGTTGTGGATCAAAGAATCGCAGCTTTTCAGACATCTGTCAACAACAACAAAAATCCACTAAAATCAAAATCTTCAAACAGTGACCCTTTGACACATCTCTAAGAAACTGAACTGAGTCGGTTTAAAGAGCGAGACACGCGTAGGGTGAGTGAATACCTGGATGATTTGGCTTATGAAAACAGGAGAGTAGTAGGAAGGCTGCATGAGGACGGTCTTGGAGATGACTTCACAGTAATGGAAGGCCTGAGCGCTCAGGCCTGCTTCAGCCAAACGGCATGCATAGATCAACTTGAACACCTAATAGGACAGAGAGAAGTGTTAAACCTCAGCATTATATATCAGTAGTAAAACCCTAAATTGTGAGCTATGATACAACAGGAAGGATGCAGACAACATCAGTATCACAATCTGCATTTATCCCTGCTAACTCTGAGAAATCTACCTGGAAATTGGGCAGTGAGCACGGCAGGGAGCCCAGAGACTGAGCGTACTCGTAGGCTTCAGTCCTCTGGATTGCTTCATTGGTGGCAAACTGGTAAAAGGGCACACTGAGGAAAAACGACAAAGAAAAGTTCATACATGAATCATGTTATGTGCAAAGTGCATAATTCTTTCTCCTGCTTTTGTCTCTCACCTGTGGTTGGAGCCAATCAGAACCATTTTGGTGCTTTTCTTTGTGTAAACTCCCAGACCAACTTGAGCCATTAGATAGCAGAAGTGAGCAGCATCAATAAGCCCCTTGGAAGCTGCAACGACACAAAACAATAAAAACTAAACATAAGTTTGGGGATAATAAAAACTCCCTTCTAACTCAGCACTCTGATATATAGATTACTTTACCTAGAGTGTCGCCCATGGTGGTGATGGTGCGGGTGTCCAGATCTAAGGTGTGTGTAAGGTTAGACAGCACCATGGCCAGGTGAGGGCGCCAGTCACCCCACTTCTCCTCTCCGCAGCACTAAATAAAGACACACATGTCAACAACACCACGTTGGCATCCAAATATTATTGAGAACGAGAAACCAGAGGAAGAGAGAGAGCTATAGTCGAGCTTACAGTGGCTGAAGCAGGCATCCTCCCTGACATGAGCTGGTACACAGTCTGCAGAGGGTCATTGATGGGCAAACTGTTTGCAAACCTAAACAAAGACAAAAAGTAACACAATCAATGCACTAGGAAATCTTTAACAGATGGAAAAATAAAGGAGCAACCCAGTGAAGAGTCACACATTAATTTTCGTTTTTTTGAAGGTTTAATCTTGTTTAACTTGATTCCGGCACATTTAATATGATCTCTGATATCAGGTAAGTTTTGGTGGATGGTGTCATCGTTTAAAAGGTTTTAGAGGGTGTAAAAACATTTCCATCACACCCATAGACATGCTTTTGGTTTTACCTTGTCATGACCCGTGCATGCGTCCTGTTGTCCATTTTACTGGCCAACAGCAGCGCATGGCCCCAGAGACCTCCCTTCATAGCTGCTTCTAGTGCGTCCTATCACACAAACAAAACAGACCAAAACAAAAGTCCACATCAGATCTCACATGGTATCGGTTTATTTACTTCTCTACAATTGAGGAGGGTGTTTCTTTACCTTCTTGCGGCCAAACAGCAGCAGCTCTCTAAAGCGTTCGGTTTCCTTGCCGAGGTTTTCTGGGACGGTCATGAAGGTATCAGACAGCAGGGACAGCGGTCCGGCTCCCGGCTCTTCCTCGGCTCTCTCCAGAGGTTCGTTGTTGAAATCAATCAAATTGGCTTCATTGGGACTTTTGCCCGGCAGCCAGACAGAGCGGTGCTCCTTCATCAGGAGGTCAGCGATGTCTGTGCCGACCACAGTCTACAGAGAGGAAACAGAGAAAGAGACAACTGGTCAGTCGGATATTCTGACATGTTTTGACACACTCACAATCGTGACTGCACGGTCTTACCCCATTCTGCCTGCAGAGCAGCATGATGAAGTCCCAGAGCAGGCGGGCAGAGTCTCTGTCTAACAGGTTGTTGTCTCGAGAACACTCCATGGCTTTGTTCTGGGAGAACTTTATCACATCCACCTTATGTGTCTCCTCCCTGACAGACAGGATACAAAATGTGAGACGGCTCAGATTTAACACAAAAAGTGCAAACTTAAATATCAACTATGTGTACAAATATTAAGACTTGAATGCAACACAAAAGATTGAAGATCCAAGCAGGAACCAACCAGAGAGCTTCTGACCAAACCACAGAGAGAGGCAGAGCAGTGCTTAAGCGTTTTAGGAAAGCTAATGCACCGATGGCTTTCAACTTTTTATGGACTGTGTTAAGAATGAAAGATGTGGCATGCTGCAACCTAGTTTTAACAGTCTTAGATCGATGATTGGTACCACATAACTGAACTTCTCATCAGAGATTTGATTGACATCAAACTGAAAAACAGAATATCCATGACTCATGCTGGTCACCCCTTCAGATATTTATGATATCAACAGAAATTTAAAAAAAAAAGTAGAATAACCGACACGGGCAGGACCAACCAACGACTGGAGGTTGTGCACTGCAAGTACTGAGTAAAAGATCTTGTTGACACGTAAGGGAGATTCACTCACTTTACAAGAGGTCCAGGGAAGGCTCGCAGTTCTACCTGATCCTGGGTGTCCTGCAGCATGGTCTGCAATGACAAACATGGTTTACAGTAACACTGCTTTAAGCTAGGTCAATGACAAACTGTCTCAAAATGAAAAATCAGTTTAGTGTTTATATAGTTTTTCCCCATCAGTTTGATAACCTGTCTCACATATCCTTTCAAGTCTAAAGAAACAATTCCTGATAAGTTCAACACTCTTGGTTGCAGGGAGGTTTCAGATTATTGTACGATGAACTATGCCACAAAAGGACTCCTTTTGTGAGTTAACCTTTTGGGTCTTACTGGATAAGACAGCTGAGATAGAGGACAGAATGTGGGAAGACACAGGGGACTTTAGCCTCTGTGCATAGGACGCACTCTTTTACCCCTGGGCTTAACCAGCGTCCTTAAAGAGGATATCTTAAAAGGAACATCCTGTTACGTACAGGTGTGCCGTGTGCAAAGGGGAGAAGAAAACTATTTCCTCCATCTTAGAAAGTTTTTATGCATCACTTGTGTTTTTTTCTGCATTAATGTGTGATTATCATTGACTCTTTTTAAAGTACCTTGTCCTCTTTATTATCATCATACATTGATTGTTTAATAAATAATTAGGCTTTCTCATAGCTCAGAAGCAGTATGAATAATAGTATGTGTAAAATAGTGCGAGGTGGATCTTTTAATAACATTTGTAAACGCCTCGCAGTAGTTCTTTGTAACAGGCAGGTAGTTTGAGGTAACAGCAGTCTGTTCTGTGTCTGTTGTGTTGACATTAAAACACAGACACTTTATGACACCAAAATTATGCACTAGCAACATTAACACCTATGTTTAAATCCTCTCTCGCTGTCACTAGTCCTTCATAACATAATAATTAAGGCCCAAATCCTTCACTTAAAAGTTAATAAGCAGTTTACTCCACTATGAAAGATGTACCTCCATGTTGTAGATGTCAACCAGTGCAGGCTGTCCAGCAGAGGGGAGGTTAGGCAGCACTTGGACCAGGTGACCACCAGGTCCAAAACGAGCGCATCGATGGGGTATGGTGAACTTCTCCGGGGTCGCAGGTCGAGGAGGAGCTGGAAGAAAAAAAAAGTAAACTGTACTTAGTAAAAAGAAGTCTTTGCTTTTTTTAAATCATTACTGTTCATTCAGGACGGTGAGCTTACGCTGCTCTGGGGCGATCCAGGTGCTCTCTGTGGGGTACTCAGAGGGGTAGAGGTATTGGCTGTAGTTCTGGGAAGCATCAGTCTGGTTCGGGTACTGTCCGTAGGAGTAGTCCACAGCCAGAGTAGATGATGTTGTGTCGTAGACTGCTGACACTAAATCAGGCTGGCTTCTGTACGCCTGACTCTGCAGGGCGGGAAGACAAACGGAGACAATCATCAAATAAACAGAGAAAAAAAAAGAGAGAACAGCCACATGCTGGTAACTACACACACTCAAAACACCAAAAATAAAAGATGATCTACGTGAATAATCACTTTAAGAGGAAAAACCCGATCATGGTCTTTATTTTACTAGGATCCTGCTGGGATAAATTGGGGATCAATCTGAAAACTTCATTCAACTAAGAGTAAAGAGCAGCAGCAGCTTTTAAACCTTTGGGCAGACATTAGTGGCAAACTTAAATTCTGACAAGAAAGTGCATGAACATACAGCACAGATGGAATAAAGAAGTATCTGAGTTGCTCTCTGGACTCGTAGAAATTAACACCCCTAAAATAAACCAAGAGAAGATGATAAGCTTGTTAGCTGTAGGAAACTCATACTGTAATCCACACCTCTTTCAAAGGCATCTCTGCAGCTGCAGCTCACACTGATTCACTCCTTGCACTGGGGAAGTAAGAAACCGTGGACCGCGTGCTTTGGTTAAAAATCAAACCAAGAGAAATAATTCCTGACAATGATGAGGAGTGAGCTCAAATTGCTAAACAGACCTAAAAGGTAAGGTTCATTGTGAAATAGTGAGTCAAGTTGGAAGGAAAATGGAGTTAGAGAACATCTATCCACCTATCATCTGTAACGCTCATCCCTTTTGGGGTCATGGGGTGCTAGGGCTTATCCCAGCTCTCACTGGGCGAGAGGCACAGTACGCCTAAGACAGGTTGCCCGTCTATCAGAGGGCTCTGAGGAAGCCCATGCACACACTGAGAGAACATGCAAACTGGGGGTTCAAACTAGGACTTTTCTGTTTGAGAGGCACTAACCATTACACCACCATCTGGTCAAGACATTAGTAATTGGCGCCTGTAAGATAACTGTATCTCACCAGTAAGGACAGTACTTGTCACACATAGATTCTTGTTAAAATAAAGCCGGGCTCTACACTGTAAAAATCTTTCCATCAGGTCTTTGATAACAGGGCTCTGAATTTGCAACCCACACAATTTAAATATTTAATCTTGTTGCACCACAGCAATGATCTGCACTCGTCAATCTGCTCATAAATATATTTATATTTGTTTCAAAGTGTGCCTTTAAAAACCGTAGAGTAGTGCTGGGCGATAGGACGATAGATATCGTGGGCACGATAGAAAATGTCTATCGTGCCATTTTTATTTTTATCGTTTCGGGCGATAGGCTGTATTTTATCCATAGGGCTTGTGCCATCAGATGATTCATAGAAACAACAACAATAATTGCACATTCAGTAAGTGTATTTGGTGTCAAACGGGAACGAAAACAATATTTTCTTACAAAGAAAAGGATGCGTTGACATGTAGGCTTGCATTTCTCTTTCGATTTTGCGACATGACGCCGCTTAACGTGCCCTCTTCGTGTCCAGCGTCTCCCGCCGTTGCGGGTTACCTGGGTTACACACGTGAGGGGATCATTGTAAGCAGTGCCTAATTTCTTTTTTTATGCCAATCTGTGACTGTCATTCTATTGCTTTTTTATTGTTGCTGCTATTGTTTTACTGTGTGCTGTAGGACTTTGAGATTTTTTGTAAATGTAAAGTGCATTACAAATTAAATTTATTATTATTATTATTATTATTATTATGGAGTGCTTTGGCTCACACTATCGGCGTTTTCTGTGAGTGTTGCATAACTTTGGGTGAGCACAGACATGAACGCACTTCAGCCACGTATTTATTTATTCATTTTTCTAGTTTTAAGTGCTGGTCTTGTACTGGTACTAGTGCAGCTGTATACACTTAAATTTTTCATAGAACTGAAAGCATACCATAGCTATATCGTGATATATATCGTTATCGTGATATAAAATGATCCATATCGTGATATACATTTTTTTCCATATCGCCCAGCACTACCGTAGAGTGTGGGTGACAAAAGGTTGTCTGAGACTACAACAGGGAGTCTGCTAGATGCTGACTTACAAACCAGGTGTGAAAATAATGTGTATATAAAACTAAAGAAATGCCGTAAAAGAAGATGAGGAATATTTCCTTCACTGTGGAGTACATTTTTAAGAATGCCTATCAGTGGTCTTTGTACATCCCTCCAGGAATCCGCGATTCCGCGATCACGAATACAAGGCGAGGTGCAGAATATTATATTTTACATGTAGTTTTCATCCTGGCCGGTCGATGTACGCGGTCAGATAGACGGGTGAGACGGGAACGGGAACTCACAGCCGAATGCAAAAAGGTTTGGCGTCGCCTGGTTGCTTGTGAGGAGGATCCCAGATGGAAAGGCGGGCTGTAGAGCGGATGGCATATTTTTAATGGAGTAAAAAACACAGCGTATGATGAGCTCCAGCGAGCAGCACCAGCGAAACTCGAAATGGAGCGCTCCCTCCGACAAAATCCTACAACCATAGCAGCAAAGCTGTATATTTTTTTGTGTGAGAATCACAGCTCCAGGCATTTGTGTTCCTAAACCATCACCCATGATAGTTTGGTGAAATATTCTGCACTTGTATTTGTTTACATGTATTATCTGACTGCGCAGTTTTCTGCGGAATCAAGAATTGCTCTCCGCAGAATCAGGATTGTTCTCCGCGGAATCAAACCTTTTTTTCTGCAGATTCTTGGAGGGTCTAATTATACCTGTAGCATGTGACATGTAACTACAGTGACAACAAAGTTCCTGCTTCCTGTATAGTGGAGTGGACCGATTTAAGAAAGACCAGTCAAATCAACCACCAATCCAATCACAATCAAAAACACACTACTGCAATCCAATCTCAATGCAATGCTTACATAACTAATGAAATGTCAGCTTGACAATGTTAACTCTCACTGCAGAATTTAGATCGGTTAATATTAGCCTTCAATCACTTCTTTTCACTTCATCCACATGTGACAGAGAGATCGTCCACGTGAATTCAGAAAAGCTGGAGAGAGAAGATGAAGAAAACAGAGATTTCTTTCAAAGGCTGCCTAACAGTGTTGTTCTTGCTGACATGTAAACCAAAGCTGTGAAGCTCCCCAAGATTTGCTGGTGCAAAACTATCAGTGCTATCAAGTGAAAAAGTCAACTTCAAACACAGCACTATATAAGTATAAACTAACTGATCTGGATTAACCTTGCTTCAAAGGGAAAACTCCAGGACACTCAAATGCAGGAATAACAACACCGTCTCTATCTTTTTTAGGGCCATAAGCCAGAAAGGGCGAGTGAACAACAGAGGCATTCATAGGACAACTTAATGGTGATGTAGTGCCATGACAGCGCAAAGGGAAAAAACATTTTTGTTGCATCATTTTAGGGAAAGCGGGACAAACATCGTGGAAAGTTCGTAAAAAAACAACATTTATTTGTGTTGTTCAAAGCTAAACTTGAATTCAATCATCAAGAGCCTTTGGTGAGTCTTTATGAGACTTAAGTCCACAAGAGACAGCAGAAGGTAAAAACACCACTTTACAGTGACCCAGGAAAAACTGCTGACTCACCTGTTGCGAGCGTGAGCTGAAGCTGCTCCGTCTGCTGTGGTGACTGTGGGAGCTGTGCACGCTGTGAGCCGACTGCTCGCTGTGGACGCTGCGTCTGTCGAAATCATCACCATACATCTCCCCACGACGGCGGTAATCGTCATCGAAACTGGCATCGTAACCAGGATAGTACCTCCACTGGTCATCGTAGCCTTCTTTCCTATAAGATGAGGAACACCACAAACATTTAAAGAGTAATTGACAAAAACACGTTTTTATCGACAGAACAGCAAGAATATATCCCACGTTTGCAAATCATTCTCTTAGCATACCTGGGAGGATACACCTGTTGATTATAGTAGTCTCTCCCTCTGTAGTTGGGATCATAACCGGCCCAGTACTGATCGTAATATCCTCTGTACGCAGGGTCATACTGTCCGTAATTGTATCCTTTCCAAAGATAAGCAAACAAGACAGATTAGTGTAATAAAAATATAAACATTAACAGTGAAAAAAAAAATATTCAGATCGATTAAAATGATTTAGACTTTGTTTAATTGAAATAGTGCAAAGACAACATATGAGATAATAAAAAAAAAATCAAATTATGATTTTTTAGGAAAAAATGTGTTCTCACTTTACATTTCATGCCAGCAACATGTTTCAAAATACTTGGATCAGGTGGTTAAAGTCACTGCATCAGCTCAAAACAAATTCCAAAATCCACTGATCACAATTTAGTGGTTAAAACTGGACTATGCAAACAGGACACCATAAATAAACACGGTTTTGAGGTAGCATATGCTGTCATCCATGCAATGCCAGAGAAGACCTTTCAAATTAAAGCAAGGCAAAGCTAAACCGGATTCTGCAAGTTTGACAACAGCATGAGTCAGTGGTAGAAGAGTGCAGGTGCTAAACTGGCCGGCCTGCAGCACTGACTTGTCAACCACTGAAATCATGAAATGAAAAATACAAAAAAAAAAAAAAAGGAACCCTTAATTGTTGAGCAGCAAGAACTCTGTATTGAGCAAGTGTGGGAAATCAGGCAACTTTCAAAAACACGAGAAACCGGTCTCCTTGGTTTCCAAATGCTTACAGAAGAGGTGACGCAATACAACGGTAAAATCGTGACTGTCGTGTCTTTTTGACCTAAGTTTGTGAAAAGGACACGCTTCTCAATTCACACATTACAGTAAAAGCATCTTTCAGCAGTGTGACTCTTACCCGCGTAATCATAGTGCTTGGTATAATCTGCATAATATTCATTGTAGGCACTTCGGTTTGTTCGGGTGTAATCTTCAGGATAGCCTTGCCTACAGGAGAGAGAAAACAAAACTTCAGATTTACAAGTCAAGAACAAGATAAATCTAAACATGCTTGATTGCATTATCCAAGTGAAATGACACCAAATAGACTTCATAGATTCAGGCATTCAAAACTGTCAAAAGAAGCCAACATAGTAATAATGATAATGATAATAATGCCATGGGGAGTATATCTAACTGACCTGGATGATGGCCTGTCAGAGTACTGACTGGCTCTGGAGTTGGGTCGCTCTGGCTGCGGCTCTCTGTACTGGTAGTTTGGATCACGATAACCTGGAGCCTGCCCCTCATATCTACCATACCAAGGGTCTGCTCTGTTCCTGTATGCACCTTCCTGAGAGTCGAGAAGAAAAAAATTCAGTAATATTTAGAAGTGCAGTTTCACATGCATTATCTGTTGGTACAATTTGTGATGTACATTTCAAAATTAAAAACAAAGAGCGTATTGATACAAAAAAGGTCCTCACACATACTTGATAATACTGCTGCGCCCCAGGTGGAGGTGGGTACTGGCCAGGAGGATATGGTGCCCTGCTGTCTGGGTATTCTCCGTAGTTACCGTAGTACCCACCATACATCTGCCCTGGCCCTTGCCCTGGAGGAGGAGGAGGCCCATAGCCTTGCTGGCTGCCTGCAGAGGAGGGCGGTCGGGGTTGCTCTGCAGGACCTGGCTGAGGTGCACCTGGGGGTGCTGGTCCACGAGGCCCTGGAGGGTTCGGAGCAGCTGTAGTGGGAGGAGGAGGACCCCCAGCAGGAGGCCCCTGCCCTGGAGGTGGATACTGGCCATGAGAGGGTGGTGCTCCGCTCACCGGAACAGCAGGGACATCATTTTGTGCCGGCAGAGCAGCCTGAGAATCTGGTCTCTTTGGGGGTTCTGCTGGCGGTGACTGGATGCTTTCAGGTGCTTGAGTGGCTGCTAATGGTACCTGTGGGGTAGATGAAGGGGTGGGGGTCTGGACAGGGGCAGTGCCCTTCACTCTCACCCCCTGCTGAGCATCTTTGGTGACCTGTAGGTAAAATCCATTACTAGACTGTGGAGACTCATGTAGGGAGGAAGGTTGGCCAGATGCTTGGTTTTGGGCTTGTGATTGGTGCATAGAAAAATCAAGCAGTTCATAATTTGATGGCTGATTATGATTAGAGACAGGAGCAGTCACAAGAGAAGCTGGCGGATTAACTTGAAGAGCAGCATTGCTCTCCCCACCCACTGATTGGCCCCTGGAAAGCGGGGGGCGGGCCTGCTGAGGCGGCGGTGGAGCTGTGGTTTCTGACGGTGCTGCTTCTTTGTTGTCTCGGGTCAGATTGAGCGGGCCCGAGTTGGAGGCTGGAGCGCTAAAGTTTATTGGTCCTGGGGCAAACAGTGGATTCTGATTAGAGCTTGATAAGGGTGATTGAGAGGCACTGGCACCGTGTCCCTGTGCTCTCACAGGTGGAGTGGTCTCCCTAAGGCTACTTTGACTGGCTGCTTGAGCAGGGGCACTGGGGGGAACTACGCTGGACACAGGCGGGGCAATCAAAACAGGCTGGCGTAGCGAGTCGGTCACAAGGAGCGATGCATAGCCGGGGTTGCCTTGAGAGTCGGTGGGCTCGGCCTCACTCACCTTTGGTGGGTTCTCCAGGTTCTCAGAATGCTGCTGTGATGTTGGCTGGACTCTCTGTGGGGGCTGCAGGTCCAGCGGGCTGTCTTCTGGAGGCTGGATGACCTCAGAACTGGGCTCTCTTAAAGGGGCAAGAACTGTGGGGGCTGCAGGAGCTAAGAGGATGTTAGAGCCAAAGCTAGAAGTGTCATTCTGAGCCCACAGAGTAGTGGCGGGGCTCTCACAGGGCCGATTCATCCCGAAAGCCCTGGATGAGGGCCGGGAGTGAGAGGGAACCACTGGATGTACCAGGTGAAGCACACCACCTGCAGCTCCAGCAGGCAGGGGGTGTCCTTGGCCATAAATATTTTCCATGTTATCTGGAGGCTGCTCCAGATTGCCAGGTGTCGAATCCGCACGCCCCTCTGCTACCATTTTAGCTTTGTCAACCTCAGCAGGACGCACCCCGACCCCATGTGAGCGCACAGGTTCAAACGAGCTGTTGGCACTGGCCTGGAAGATGCCAGTTGGCTTTGGAGGGCTTGGTGTGGGGTGGCACATCTGCTCCAGGGAGCTCTGACGGGCACCTATATCCCCAGCAGGAGAAGAGTCAATCTGCTCAAAGTAGCCTCCAGCAGCAGCAGACAGGTTAGCTTCATCAGTGAGACGTGGGCTTTCCTGCTGAATAAAGGTACCCACCACTCCCTGATGCCTCCGACCGCTGGTTCCACTTCCATGGCTCATGTTGCTGTAGTTAGACGACACACTGGCAGATCTCATTGGTCTTGGAATGGAGTCTGGAGTCTCCAGGTTAGGCCCTGTTTCAAACTGGTCTACTCCGTGGGCTGCTAGTGCAGCGGGACTCACAGGGGCTTCACTGGGCAAAACTTCCTGGTTTGGTACACACTCCAAATTCTCAACATGGTCATAGTGGGACTCAGGAGGCCTCTGGGTTAAAAGGCTTCCATCATTCATGTACGGTAAATGTGACTGATCTTGCAGAGGAGGCCCTTGGTAATCCAAAGGAGCATCTGTGTGACTGCTTTGGACTGGTGGGTTACTGTGAGGCTGAAGGGACCCAGGAACACCATTCATTGCCTTTTTCCTCTCTCCAGCCAGTGTCTCTTCATTTTCCACATCATCTTTGAAGAACATTGAGAGGGTCCCAGACTCCTGGGGGTATGGCTGTGAGGTTGAGGCTGGGGCTGGGACTGAGGCATAACTAGGCCCAGAACTGGGTGCATGTTGGGATCCAGCAAATTCAGGTCTGGGCTGAGGATGGCCCATACCAGTACCCATTTGGTGATAGCCCGGGTCCTGTGGTGGTTGATTAAACCAGGAGTCCTGGGGGGCAGAGCTCTGGCTGAAGTAGCTCTGAGTTTGGAAGTGTGAATTCTGTTGCTGGGGTGCATTTGGATCAGGCCACTGGGAACCAGGGCCCTTATAAGAATTCTGGAGAGGAGGAGGAGGAAGAGGATGCCCAGGTTGAGTTGAAGAAGTGGGGGGGTTGTGATGAGGCGACGGGGTATGAGAAGGGTACATCTGAGGCTGAGGAGGTAAATTAAAAGGTTGTTGTGGGGGGTCACTAGTTGGCTGGAAATAGTTCTGAACTGATGGAGGGCGACTTCCATGATCAGGGACCCACTGAGAAGAAGAGGTGGTCGGAGGCACTGGCTGAAAGGGCACAGGCTGTGGTGGATGTCCTTGAAATTCCTGGTTAAAAGGTGTCTGATGTGGTGCTGGGGCTGAGGCCCCAGGCAGAGGCTCTGTGCCCATAGATGGGGTCTGTTCTCTTGAATTAAAATAGCCCTGTTCACTTGGTGTGGGTGCAAACCCTGCAGGACTGGGTGCTGTGAAAACACCAGGGGGTGCTGAACTATGAGGGTTGAACAGGGTCACCCCTTGCAGAGAGGCTGGTGGAGGACCAGAGAAAGCAGGTGGGACATTCTCCAGTGACTGTGGTTGTGTAGGCAGTCCTGAGCCAGCTTGAGAGTACATGGTGTTAGGTGGAGCTTGCATTAGTGGAGGGTTACTGTTTGGTATTGTTGGGGGACCACCTGCAGCCATAGGGGGAGGAGCTCTAGCAAAAGCAAAAGGGTCTGTCATTGGTTGAGATGTAGGTGGCATGGTGGCAGCAGCTGCAGCTGCTGCTGTATGCTTGTGAGGCCTAGTCCTGCGGAACATATTGGGCCCTGAAGAAGGGGGAGGGCAAGAGGCTCCTGGAGGACCAGTCCGAGGAGGAGACTGCATTGCTGCAGAGCTAGCAGGTCCGAGGACCGGGTCACTCTAGTGGATGTCACTGAAGAGTCTTAAGTCAGGCAAAGCTGGGTAAAGAGAAGAAAAGAGGGAGTGGCTGAGAAAAGACTGATCACACCTTTATTTGAGTTATAGTCTCTTCTCCTATCTGACTGGATGTTACAACGTGGCGATTTCCACATGGGCTGCAAGTACACCAAAAATACACACAGTACAACAATAAGAAGATGACAGACTTAACGTCAAGCAGTCTACATGAAATACTTTTACTGTTAAAGCTTTGTGTTAACCCTTATTAAACAACCTAATAACTGGCAATCATACATGCAGGTACTCATCCAGATATTTTTACTGTAGTAAATATATCTGGATTAGAATTTTAAAACATTTTTTTAATATCAATAATGACACAAAAACAGAGAGTTTGTATCTGTTTTTCTTCAATAAAACCAAAGTTACTCATGGTATCTTACTGCTGCTATTCTTGGTTCAGCCCTTTACCAACAAATCTGACACTGATATTACAGAAGGAAATGTGTGATGGCAATGCTCAATACTGCAATATTAATGAGATGTGTGGCTAACAAAAATACTGAAGAGCACATATCATCTCAAATAACATGTATTTTCAATTGTCTGCTGTTCTTTGTGATTTACACAATAACTGTTTATTCTGTATCTAAAATTGATCTAAAAAGCTGTTAGATGGCTGAAACTTCATTTGATGGCATTAAAAGCATGATCTCCATCTAACAGGCAAAATGTACACGCAAACTGAGAAAATGCATGACATTATTTGCTTATTTAATTAGATAAATCAAGCTTTTTTATGTGTTTGTTGCTATTGATATTAATACATTTGAGACTGATTATGCAGCCCTGTGACATAACTTTTCCCTTTGAAAAACTACCTGGAATAAAAAAAAAAGTTGTATGTTATGTTATTATCACTAAATCAAGCGCTTTACACAGCCTTGTTAAAGGGTTTATGGCACATCATCACCTGGACTCCAGCTGCTGCAAAAATCAGTGACATTAATGTACACACAGTGTTAATAAGATTAAGTTATTTTAGCACAACATTGAAAACTGTTCCGACTATTTTGTTCCTCTCATGTTTAAGGGGACAAAATATAAGGAACATCTGTCTAAGACTAACTAAGACCACCAGGTACCGGAACAGCTTCTTCCCCACAGGTGTCACACTCCTGAACTCTGCCTCCTGACATCTGAACCACATTAATACTCATGGACTGAACACACACACACACAAACACTCACAACCACTGAACCACCACTTACAATTATCTACAATTACCTGCACTTTATATCTTTAAACCAACTTAAAACCTTTAAAACCTCATTTGCACTACTATAAATACATCCAATATTGCACTACTGCATAATTTATCTGTCCTATACCTATATTTATAGTCTGTTTACACCCTCCATATTTATAACCATATGTATAATCTGTTCATAGCCTGTACATACACTACTATAGCCTGTACATACTTATAGTTATAGCATATTCATAACAATGTTGTATACTTGCGTATATATCTCCTTCATACCGTATACATTTGTAAATATATCTATACTTGCTAAGCACTTCTGGATGGATGCAAACTGCATTTCGTTACTCTGTACTTGTGACATGTGCAATGACAATAAAGTTGCATTCTATTCTATTCTATATAACAAACTCCAGTACACCACCACCACCTACTATGTCTTAAACAATTAATGTTGAGTGTGATAGTCATATGTCTGATCGTGTCAACAAAAACTGAAAGTCTAGAAGCTTCCTTAAAGTCAAGGCTAAGTATTGGGTTCACAATGTTAATGGCTGGTTTGTTTATATGATCCTCTCTAAACAGGAACACGCTGTCATTGTTCTGCCGATGCAGCTGATATGTGCTTTCAAAGCTTCTGCTGCAAGCTTTAATCATTACAGATAGATGCTACCAATACAAACCATTAAACGTCAACACAGCTGATAACGAGTTAATGAGATTATTGAAGCCTTTAGGTCCAAACACTGTGCATGTGTCAGTCTGGAGTCCAGACGAACCAGAGTGTAACACACAGCTCATGTAATATAAGAAAGTAAGATCGGTGACACATAGAGCCAGCAAGACAGGTAGGCATGTCCAGGTAAGCTCTGACAGACAAATGCGATCCCGGATCTTTCTGACCCCCCCGGCTTACACCGTCACCAGGAACCGTTGCAGTCATGTATGCTAACAGTAGCGCAGCTAACCCACCAACAAACAATCAACAGACTCATAAGTTTAAGCCTCATAATGGAAACAGACTGGCTTCTTACCATTGCCCTACACTTGCTGTACTCTCGCTTGTGGCAAATATTTAAGTTCTGGCACGATATCAAGTAAAAGTTACACATTAAACAGCCTGAAAGCTCCAGGTCTGGAGTGCTCGGCTCGACAGCTAACGGTAACACTGCATTGCTCTACACGTCCTGGACGCCATAGCAGCACAAAGTCTGATATTCAAAGCTCACCGTCTGGGCCTGGAGTCTTCTAAGAACATATTGCATCTTAATTTGGTCACATGTAGTACTGACATGGGCGAATACTCTCGTCGAGCATAAATTAACAGGTTCACTGACTGGTCATCTAGCGTTAGCATCGGTGCTTATGTAGCATTACTAGCTAACTAGCCTTTGCTAACTACGGGGTTAACAGTTTCATACCCGCTACAGACACCACATTCAAACGTTCAGAGTGAAATAATTACAGCCATGGTATACATCTACTCTTACCCGATGTCGGCAATGTGTAAAGATTTGAATAAATTCTTACAAATATCCAGGACAGTGAGTCTGACACACCGCCACCATCTTCAATGAGCACATCCTACTAGGCTACGTGTACAAGGAGCGTCAGAGGCCAAACAACCGCTGCGTCATCACGGGGCGGAGCGCGTGAAAGGTCATTTAATTTTTACGGTTTTTAGCTAGCTAAATATTTTTACCTTAAAAACTTTTGTTTTATCACTCCTTGACTATTTGAGTAATTTTTTTAATTACAAAAAATGGTTAACGGAATCAATGCCCAGGCAATGGAGTGGATTGGGATTGCAATTTATCTTGACAGCAGGTGCCTACCGTCAGGGGCGTCATAGTAGGAGGAGGAAGAAAAGGGGGCTCTGCCCTGGGCCCCAGCGGTGTTGTGCATTAGAATGCACCCCTGCTGTAGAATGCACCCCTTGATGGGAGCGCGGTTGAAAGTGTATAACAAGGCGAAATAATAGAGCTATTTTGGTGCTCTTATTTTAGTATCTTTTACTGTTATTTTATCTATTATTCTTAAATTTCATTTTATGTTACTTTGTTTTTAGATTTTAAACCTCCAGTATTTCCTTATCTTGAATTTTAAAACAGCGTTTCGTCAGTGCGCACATTCCTGTTTATATGAAATCAAGCCCTTTTAAAGACCATGCATTTGAATACACATCTCTATTGTGCTTAGATTGCGGGGTGGGGTTGAGTTGGGGTAGATTAGGGTAGGGGTTTCTTTGTTTCTTTAATTTCTCTGCTATGTAAAGCAATTTGTGCTATATTTTTTGTATGAATAGTGCTATACAAATGAAGCCTGATTGATTGACCATTCACACACCTTCACAAATCTCTTTGATTAACATTCCATGACATGCAAACATACCTTTTTTCTTGGCGTTTTTTCTCTTCTTCCTCTTTCTTTTCTCTGCTCCTGAAGGATATGTCCTTATTAGCAACATTATTTTTCCCCACAACTGCCTGCGCTTTGGATGCTCAGTGCATTGCACAGCAGTAGACACATAACGGTGGCAGAGCTTTGACATATCGGTAGTAAGAATCACAGGCCTACATCAGCAGCAGTACTAAAATGTTCTTTATTTTATTTTATTTTTACAATAATCTATATTTGATCATACAGAAAGCATCACTCATACATGCAAAAAATAAAAATTATCATTTTTTTTTCTTGGGGGCCCCCTACTTGCCACGGGGCCTTAAGCAGGCGCTTAGTTTGCTTATGCCTTGGGCCGGCTCTGCTGGGCCCCCACAGAGGCCCTGAGATTAAAATAATATATTTTTTTGATGCATGTCCCTCAGATGGTCCTAGTGTTCAATGTAAAATCTGTATAAGTATGGAATTATTCAGTTTGGTATAATCCATCTAAAACACTTAACTAGCTAAAATAATATATATATGTTAGATTTGAATGTGCTTTAACAGATGACTTTCTTTTACTTTCACTGTAACTCAATAATTTACTGATCCTTTTTTCCTTTCCTTTTAAAAAAAATTCAGACAGAAACCAGTCTTGTGACAGTATTTTCAGAACCCAAATCTTTTTCTGACCACAAATACTTTAATAAGTGTTCATACAAGCTCCACAATTTTGTTTTTCATTTGTTTGCCTCAGTAAGTTGTTGTATTTCATCAAATGCAAAACAAAAAAAACAACAAAAAAAACAAAAAAAAAACAAGATGACATCTGCTTCATATCAGCCACCCCCTGACCAGCTCTCTCCTGCTCGGTATTGGCATCAGCTGTTTTTGTGTAAAATGTGGGGTGTTGTGAGAATAAACATGACTGCAAATGTTGCTCTTGTATCTTGTGGTCATTTAACCTGTATGTTTAAAGCATTTTAAAGTGAAAGATATTTAAAACTTTCAGTAGGTCATTTGCACAGTGAATATGTGGTTTAACTAGTGTTGCCACATTGGCTTGGACTATTGTGACTGGGCCTTATATTGTATTTTTGCATTGGGTCCAGACTTTCCTCTGCAGTCAGGTGCTATTAGGCTATTTACATACTTTTGATAAATGTTTTCAGGCCTGTAAATGCCACACATCATATTTATAGATCCTTACAGACCCCAGTTTGGATACATAGAAGAGTATCAGTGGCCCAAAAGACAGGTAAAAGTAAAAACATAGAGTTAGTCCAACACCCTACTTCAGGGTGAATCAATGAGATGAACATGCTGGAAGGAAATGTAAAAAAAACAATACTTGAAGCATGTGTTTACAGGGAGTTAAATGTACACCAACAAAAAAAGGAAAAGATAAATGTTATCATGTATAGATATACAGTTGTGTAAATGCAAAACCTATGATAGAATACTATGTATGGCTAAAAGGACATAACAGCGTATAATAAACTAAATGTAATTGACATTAACAGCCCACAAAATTCATCATCTCACATGTGACAAACGTGTGCATTAACAAAAACACTGATAGTATTTTGCCACCGATGTAATGTATAATTGCCTGTAAGACAAGAGCCAAAACTTCAAGAGAAAAACAGCATTTAAAGGAACTAGTACAGAACATGCACCCATGGTACTCGACCACTGGAGGGCGCTGTGGTTCTAACTATGTGCCACTCACTGTTGTGCTGCCATGAAAGTGAGCCACATTATTTTGTGTTTGGTTATGACGCTATTTGCTAATGACACGCATTTTTCTTTATGTCATGAATTGACACACAAAAAATATTTTTTATTAGTGTGTGATAAATTTGTTGAGGAAAATTGAGCCTTTGAAACAAAACAATGAAATATACAGTATGTCCATTATAAGTAATGGTTTGGCACAATTTCAAAAAGCCTTTTATACAACACATGAGCATTATAGATGAGAACACATCAGTCCTAGTCTGACTAATTCATCTTAAATTGTTGTGGTCACAGCAACATAAATAATAGAAACCACACATTTCTACTTCAGGGCTCAAACACGGACGAAACGCTCAGATTTATGTCCTCACACACCTCTTGTTCTTCGATTTCTGCACAGACTTGTCAACCGAAACCTCTCCTCCCACCAGACTGTGTCTTGAGACTACAGACCACAGGGCAGGTTAGAACAGACCTTCATTTACACCTAAAACCCCCTGGCTGCCCTTTCGTGTGAAATGAGTGTTGAGCAATCAGCTCCATGTGTGTGAAACCAATAAGGTGCTGAAAGAACTTGTAGTACGTTGTCTCTCATTGTAGAGCAAGTTATGAATCCTGGCCATGTGGGCTAAACGTTACTACATGTTCTTTTTTTCACACTTTCATTCATTACATTTTTCATTTGCAGGTGCTACAGTTAAAACCCTGTATGAGGAGTTTTTTGATGTTGATGAAACAGGCTGAAATTCATATCAATACCTTTTTATATTTTACAAAAACAAACAAGACTCTTGGTAACAAGTTGGATGATTGTTGATGATTGATGATCTGTTATCTGTGCTCCTTTCCATCTGGGTTGCAGAACATTATTATAGCAGCAAAAACAAGCTGAACTATATCTCAGATGGAGGTGGACAGGTACAATACAACTTGGACACATCAGAGGAAAGGCTTTTTGGGCCTTCACTTATTTGTTTCTATTATTTTTTCAACTTCAACTGACTGGTGCTTACTAGCAAGAGTGACCATTACTGTCTATTAGAAACTCTTTTATTATTATTGTAATTTTATATTGTTGGTTCTCAGCAACATTTACATCAAGAGCTTCAAATTGTTTAGTATAAATGAATGATAAATGAGTGGTATTGTTTACTTTGAAGCACATTGAGGGTCATTTTAAGTGTTTTAGGAGGTACAGGAAAGTGTAACTTTTCAACTCAGGAAGCTGTTTTGGCTGAAGTTGAACTTTCATGATTTACACAGGGGTAGAAAATGTTAACACTCTCTATATCAGACCCACCCACCACATAAACCACACACTCACTGAACGCTCGTCTGTCAGGTCGTTCAAGGTTGGCAACAGGAAACTATTTGACACTGTACTACAGTTATCAAGAGTGAAATATGAGAAGACATGGGGATTGTGTTGTTTGGATTAAAATGTGTGAAAATACATGTTTTATTTTTATATTTCTGGTTAAAAAATGAAAAAGAAATCTATTCAATCAAAATATGAGGTCACTTTAAGACTGCGACACAATTTAAAGAGCACTTTTAGAGTCAAGAAAGCTCCTCTTTGCCCTCCAAATAGAGAAAATATAAGCGACCTTTACACATTCTCTTTTTTGATATCTATGTAAAAGTCGTATTTGCAACACCTTTTCAAAATAAACTTTGCATGCAGATCTCATAACCCCACTTTCGACTAAGAATGACTGATATCAGTGTCCTACATTACTTCCCGTGGGTGCACTGTAAACGTGACACTGACAGAGTTTGTCCTCAGAGACTCCATCTACCCTCTCATTAAGGCCATGTTTACAAGAAAAGCCAGCAGAGTGGGCTATGTTTGGTTAACCACTGTCTAAACTCCTGATAAGCCTCTAAATGTCAACCTGAGCCCTGCGGTTTTTTTAATGACACGGGGTCTCTGAACAAAAGCCCAGTGAGGGAGTTCATCTCTGCTGAGGCATGTATGCCGCCTATCTGCTGTCAGGTTTGGCAGGTGTGTGATAACAGAGATTAGAGCACAGAGCAGAGTCATTGTTTATGCATAGCTTGAGAAGAAGATAACAAATATTTAGATATTCAACCCTATCTTTCTATCTCTTTCTCACATAGTATTGGTTAATAAAGAGATTGCACAGGCAGGTATAGACCTGCTCTTATGTTACGGGATGCAAAGATTAAGGAATGGCACTGTCTGAGAACGTCCCCCCTTCATTTAACAGAAATGAGTGTTAAAGTTACTGAAATGAGAAATACATCCCCATCATGCTGCCAATATGCCTTTAACACGACTTTTAATGCATTTTCATTCTGGGGTTTAAATGTGAAACTGATTAAGTTAGGCTTAAAGCTCCAGTAGGGAGGGTTTGTGACAACTTTGGCACCCCCTGTGGAAAAAGCCAGATTTCCTTTTATTAGTCCTCTTCATGCTCAAGTTGTGTCTTTTGACAAAAGAAATCATACTGCTGACTTTTTGACACTCAGATTTGTAATTCATTGTGAATAATTTTGTTGAAATTTACAAAAAAGAAAAAAGAAGAAAAAAACAGCTTTCTCAGCTGCTTGGCTGACACCTGCACTGCTTTCAAGTGTTAGAAATTGGGACATAAAAATAATCAGTCTTGTCACTGATGGTCGTGTCTGCTTTTTGATATCATACAAATACATAAACATGAATTTCAGCCTGTTTCGTTAATGTTGAAAAACTCCTTATAGGAGCTTTAAATTGACATAAAGCAAAAACTTTACCTATAACTGCTGTAATATCGTAGTAAGTGCTGTCTCAAACAATGATGCATTATCCCAAAAAGGACTAGACTGTTCTTTATTATGCAATCCCTATTCTAAGAAAAGCCAAGATACATGTGTACAGAAATCCTTTACCCTACACTTGATTGAAAAAGTGCAAAGACAGCATTTGAAATGTTAAAACTGAACATTTTTACTGTTTTGTGAAAAACATATGCTCATATAAATTCTCGTAACAGACTTCACAACAAGTAAGAGTATTAGAAGGACAAAACCTCAGAGTATCTCTGAGGTTCACTACTTTATAAAAGACTGTGAGAAAAAATAGTTTGATGTTTTCTGTATAATGTATAACTGTAAAGAATTTTGGCGTTTCATCATTTATAGTTCATAACATCATTAGAAGTTTAAAAGTATCTGGAGGAACCTCTGCACAG